ACATCCAAGTATACTTTAGCACACATACATGTCACAATATATATAGACCTATGTATTGGTCTCCTAGTCCTAGCAAAGGCATCAAAATTTCATACTTATACCACACACACACACACATATATATATAATTAAAAAGAGAAGAGTAAAACTCCAACACCTTATCTTATCCTACTACTGAGGTGCACACTAGTAACTGGGCAGAGCCCTGTAGAATAAAAGCATCCCTATTTCCCCACAGATAAGACCAGAAGATATATTACCCTACTCTATTTATTTTCTTTCTAAACTGAACAAATTTTTTCCAACTTATTAAAATTCAAAATTATTGCCTCAAACCATTATATCCATAGAATCAGTTGGTGCTACATCTGAAAATTCACAGTAATTAAAGTTGAGTTTCAAACTGAATAAAAATGGTTTCCAAAATTGATAAACAATTACCTTTAGCTTGTTAGATGCAGTTCCTTGAAATCTCCTTTGCAACTCAAGAACCATGCGAGGATCAAGTTCGATAGCAATGACAGATTTTCCTGCATCTAGAAGCTTTTTAGTCAGATTACCAGTACCCGGACCAATTTCAAGGATGACATCAGTTGGTTTGATGCCAGACTTCTCAACGATTGTGTCAACCAGAAGTGGATTTTTTAGTATGTGTTGGCCTTTTGACTTGTGAAATGGTATCCCGCCTTGGAAGTGGGGGTTTGCACCACCAGTGGAGCCACGGTGGTTTTGTTTGCGTATCTTCCCTCCAGCCATTGTGAACGCTTAAGGTTTGCTTGCTGGGGTTCCTGACCAGGAAATTAGGTTTTAATAATGTGAATTTGAAAGAAAGAATGATACGGAGTATGATAATCTATTTAAATGAGAGCCCTTTATAACAAAACAAAAAAATGGGCCTTCCTTTCCAAATTCCAACACAAGTAATTTGTGTTAAAAACTTAAAATACAAGTTACTAATGAAAATAATAATAAAAATAATAGTATTAATTATTTCATTAACAAAATACATTTAGTTTAAAAATAAACATCCTTCGAGCAAATTTAGATGCAAAATCATCTACCAAACTGTCAATATTAATTAATGGAGTGTTTCAAACTCTATCATATTTCTCTCCATTAGGCAAATTTCTGGTGTAAAAACCCACTGAGAATGTTCTAGAGTCTTTATCTTTAGGTCCTTTGACAAAGTTAAATTTCTTTTAGGCCCATTTTCCACCAAAATGTCTATCAACTTCATATCAAGAGCATCCCAATTTCTTGGATCATACATGTCAAACAAAGCATAGATATTTGTCCTATCAATTAAAATATCGATTCTGATGTCCTCATTATCAGCATTCTCAGCCTTGTCATTATCAACTGATTTTGAACTCACTTCATTACCACAATGACATGGTATTTCAACATTATTTTCAACATCTACATCATGTTGTACACTCTCTTGAGCCTCACTAGCTTCTATAATAATGAACTTATTAAGAGCTCCTTTCTGAGACAAGTTAACTTTTCAATTCTTCTTTTCGTTTTAACCTTGTCATGTCCGGTTGGGTATTTCTTTGGAAATTAATTACTATCAATTATTGAAATCCTCTCCTAATCATGTACATGTTTACAAATTTTAAATTACAATTCTATTTAGGCTTTGGGTGAAAACCATGAAAGACTATAATTATAAACCTAAAGTTACCAAATAACATACGTAGTAGTACATACTTATAAGAATTTGAAAATTTCTTAATTGAAAAAATACAATTACTCAATTATAATAACAAATTTTAAATTAAAATTCAGTTTAGGCTTTGGGTAATTGGGTGAAACTATATTTATACCTAAAGTTACATAACAAGTAACAACATGCTTAATACAATAATAACTTCAATAAATACTGAGTAAATAACAATTCAATGACCCAAGTAGCAATAGGCAAAAGTAGCAATTAAAAAGAGAAAAAACAGATTGCTATTTGCTAACAGAAGGGCTGGACTACCCTGGAGAGTGGAGAGCCTGGACGGACGTGAGGGAGTGATGGGCGTCGGATGGACTTGGAGGCGGAGCGCGGTGGCAGATGGCGGGGCGCGGTGGCAGATAGCGGGGCGCGGTGGCAGATGGCGGCGTTGTTTGATTCCTCTAAAGCTCAGTCGGCTTTGTCGAACACTCGCAGTGTCCCTCGATCCAGCTTCTCTCCAGTTATGCCTTTGTTTTTTTCCTTGGGCTCTTGTATCTGGGCTGCAGCAATCAAATAGTACTACTAATTTTTTTGGGCCTTCAAACAAATTGGGTCCTGTACAGGTGGACTGAGTGCCCCTGATTTGGGCCGGCCTGGGTCTCATACTCCATCGTTAAATACGGACTATAAAATATTACCTCCGTTCCGGTGAACTTTGCCAAGTTTGAAATAGATCAGAAATAAGGAAATTAAAAGTTGTGTAGTTGAGATTTGTGCAGAAGAGAGAAAAATGTGCAGAAACACAAATTAGTTATTTAACAAAAAAGTTGCAAAGTTTTTCGGGATAACCAAAAAAGAAAAGTTGACAAAATCCAATGGGATGGAGGGAGTATAACACTTTATTATTAAGAAAAATTCCAATGTAGTCATGTCCACGATGCATACGTAGCATGAGAGAAATAGACAAATAAAAATCATTTAATGTAATATCTCCCTTTATTTGAATGGTCTTATCAAATTTTGGTAACTTTTTTCACATTATAAAGAGAAACATCTAGATGTAAACATTGTGTTTGATATTCTTGTTTAAAATAAATTAAAATATAAAAAAATGTGTAAGGAAAGAGAAACTAATTTTATTAATTTAATTTATTGTGTCTATGTCTCTAATTCCAGATATGCAACGTACACATTGTTAAATAAGAGGTGCTCTAATAAAATAGAGTATGTCTAAATTGAAATTGATTTATACTTAAATTGCCATTAAGTCTGACAATTTAAAATTGACATTTTCAAATTTTGATCACAAGATCTAACTTTTTAGTTAGTCTAACAAAACACGGTAAATTACATTGTACAGCCGGGTTTTTTTGTAATATTTTGAAGATGCGGATGAACGAATCACCAGGCCATCGCTACTGCTATCTTCGTTCGTACTCGTCCTCGCCAGGTTGAGCGAATCACAGTCCTTTCTTCTCATGTTCGTGCTTGATTAGAATACACAGTTCGGCAGTTATTCCTACCGTCTTCTACAAATCGCCGGCACATAAAATCAGTATTTAAGCATTGTCATTTTTAGTGTTTTGTTGCTTAAGATCGTTATGTAAGTCCTTATGTCGTGTAATTTTGTTTATAGTAAGAACCTCAGATCCGATTATTTCTTTTGGACAGTAATTTTTTTCGTTTATTCCGTTGCGTTTTTCTGCCCGAATCCCAACAGGAATAAGCATATATTTAGAGACAGCGGAGAGGGTTGGGGAACTCTGGTCCAAAATAGACTCAAATACAGTTTCAATCTATCATTAAACTAATTAAAGGTTTAGGACTTTATGAACTCTATTAGTAATACATAACCTCAATTACATGTAAAATTCAAGTTTTAATAAAACTAAGATTTTCGTAAAATTGAGCTTTCATAAAACTTGAAGTTTGTGTAAAAGAATTTTCATAAAACATAGATTTTTCGTAAAACTACCGTTTTCCACAAAATTTTTGTTCTTGTAAGATTTTCATTTTTCGTAAAATCTTCGTTTTTCGTAAAAATTTGGTTTTTCGTAAAACTCTTGTTTTTCGTAAAACTTATGTTTTTTGTAAAACTTCTATTTTCGTAAAACTTTGGTTTTTTGTAAAATTTTGGCTTTTCGTAAAACTACTGTTTTTCGTAAACTTTGATTTTTCATTAAACTTCTGTTTAATCTCAAAATTTTCTTGAAACTTGAAATTTTTGTAAATTTGATGTTTCTGCAAACTCTGAATTTGTTTTGACCATAACTTTTAACTCGATTATCTAATTTGGGCAGTTAAGCACTTTTTGTAAACTCTATGTGCTTGATTGAGGGGTTTTAGGTTCAAGTGCTTGATTGATTTTTTCAATATAGTAATTCAACATTTTATTTTCCAGATTTTCCTCCAAATAAGTACATAAAGTTTTGATTTGATAGAGATATTCCCTAAATATGACTACAACAATGAAGAAATGCACTAACGGGATTTTCGTGTTTCATAGGACTAAACTTGAACTTACTTTAAAAATTCTAAATCTATTAATAATTAAAAATAAAAAATAAAACACTTTCTAAACCCTAGTTTTCGCTGCCACCTCAAGCACTTCCGACTTTGCCCGCCACCACGACTCTCATTGACGTTGCTGCCGCCGCCGTCACTTCTGAATTATGGAAAATAGAGAAGAATGAGGAGGAAGAAGAACAAGAAATCTCAAACCTCTTCTCACTTCTCTGGTCAGTTGCAACGAGCTGCAGTATAGATGGTTACGAAGAAATCAGGAACTGACCTCTTCTCTCTTCTCTGGTCCGCCGTAAAGAGCCACTGCGATAGATGATTATAGGCGACGACATTATGGTGGCGAAGCAGAAGAAGGAACCTCTTCTCTCTTCTCTTGTCAACCACAAGGAGCCACTTATATCTAGATTTCAATTTAATTAAATACACAGAGATTAAACATTTATCAGACCAAATCAGAACGGATCAGACTAGAAAATTTCAATTTAATTAAAAAGTTCCTTAGTCCTATTTAGGACAATTGAATAAATTCCACTTTTGATCCTGTGAGTATCGCACCAATTCCACAATTACTCAAGTCTTTGACGACTTTTGGTACATAACTATTGTGTTTTTGTCCATATATGGTCCTTCCAGCAATGTTTCCGGTGGTTAAAATCATCGGAGATGGATCACAAATGGTAAAGAAACATTAGTCAAGTACCAAAAGTGGACAAAGTGGAAGAGTGGAAGACTGTGAATTAAATATGGAAATGACATAATACTCTTAGGACAATATGTGGAATTAATTCTAGGACATTTACTGTTTGATACTCCGTATATGCCAAGTATTACATGCAATGTTTTATCATAAATCAAAAACTAAAAAACTGACAACTATCCAGAACAAGGGCATATAGGCTTTATTTGTCACACGAGTGTATTGCATAGTTTTTCTTCAAGAGATTGAAGAATCCGATCATATAATACTTAATTAATACGATAGTACTAGCTAAAGACAGAGGGTTAAGGGCAAAAGTATTCCATTATAATTATGTTACAACCAAATATGGCAATGTATTCAATGCCACTTCAAGCAACCAGAGATTCATAGCCATCTTCTCTTCCCCTACTCCTTTTAATAAGTATTGCAGCAACAAGAAGCACTGCAACTCCACACAATGCTAAGAAACCCCAAATACCATACATTGGGTTCACTGCATCATCTGTCTGCAGAATTAAGCCATTTTTTGAAGAAAAAAAAGGTCAGGCCATGTATGGGACATGGAAAATGATAGAATACGGATGAAAATTTCAACGAAAAACATTTTCTTATTTTACCTTGGGAAGTTTAAATGAAAACATACGTAGTATAATATACTTTATGAAATATGTTTAATGTATATTTAGATATTTTAATTTTTGTAGAAAAGATGAGCAGCCCGGTGCAAAAAAAAACATCCCCGCTGAGCGATGGACTGTCACACAAGGGTGTTACGTAGGAAAACCTTTACAGATTTTTGCATAAAAAAACAGACAAAAACAAATAAAATGAGTTCAAACAAATACATAAAATAGATTTTTGAAAGTATGACTTTTTAATATCCACTCACTTCAAATATTCTTTTTCCCTAATTGTATCCTCTATATTCTTTCCCTAGACCTTTTACTTTAAAATATGTAGGAAAATCAAAATCTAGTTAAAGCTTTTCAAGTTATTTAATATTCCTAGATTCCTAGTAGAAAACAAGATGAATTTTAATAAATGCCTAAAATTGATATATTGAGCTGATATAGTGAGTTACAAGCTGACATTTGGTACCTGCAAAGGTTCAGCAACCAAAATATAGAAAAGGCCCATGACTCCAGTGTGGCTCTGGCTACTGCTATAGTTAGATACAATGGTCAGCTTTTCTCCCTTTGCAATCTTTACCGAGCCGGGCTGAGGATAGCATGTTGTCATTCCAACAATGAAACCAGCTTCATTCCCAGGTTCCATGCCATTTCCATAAATCGGAACCGAAGAGCATATTGTCCGTCCGTCCTATAATAATTGAAGATAGACTTGCTTTAATGAACAGAAACCTGATCAATCGTATACACACTGCCGAAGCTAGGGCAATCTCGGCAAACAACTTTTTGGAAAGCCTATGGCTTCTTGGGCACTGTTAGGGGTTTGACCAGCGCAGGTGAAATAGCTACTTAATGTTGTTCGGTAGAAAAGCTACTGGAAGAACTTGTTGGGTCAAAGAAGCTGTTTTGCGAAAAGCTCTATCCCAACCTATTCTGGTAGAGCTCATATCGTTTTCTCTTATGGCAGCTAAATTATCTTCTTAAAGATCACTTCTACCATACAAAATAGCTTCTTGATAATGTAATAATGAGATGATAGAAAAACAGCTAATACAATAGGTTATCAGCTGGCGACAATTTATATCAAACAAGGGCAAAAGCAAGACAGCCTTCATCCCAATTGGCACAGTGTTTGTGAAGGAATGCTAGAAGGCCACCATGGAGTACATACTCACCCTGTGAAATCACTATTTTATCCCCACATGAATGGGTATGTAACATTATGGACTTAAAGGTAATAATGATGTTTCATGGGGGTACAAGAATTAAATAACATGCCAATACCTCCCCATATAGAGTTGAACCAACCCCTCCGGTGTGCTGGTGGGCCACACCATAAATGAGATCTCCTCCATTGGGCAAACTTGAGCTTGCACTTTGGGTATGAATGCATAATCCATCATTGGCCACATCAGCAGAACAAGAGTCAACATTATACTCAATCTGTATCATTGTAGAACAACAGGGAATCCATCATTAAGAGAATGTTAGAAAGGGTGTGGAAAAAGGAAAGGAAGTGCTAAGGGAAGCTATGTTCCAGTGTTGGTTTCACCTTTGGAGACTGCAAAGGAAAATGAAATACGAATATTTGTTTAATTTGTGATATACTACGTATCAATTTAATCTTTATGATAGAAAACCCACAAATAAGTAGATCAGAAATGAGTACCTACAAAAATGGAGTTTATTAGCTTATCTTTGATTTGTTTCCCACATTTTCCTTCCCTAATTTTTTCCATGATCCAAACGGGACCCTGAATGGGGTTAAAGGAAAAGAAGATCCTCAAGATTACAGGTCAAATCAAGGCACTAAAACAATCTGAGTTGGCTTTTTTGTTACATTTCTCCAAAAAGTTGACTCCCCACTCCCCGAGATCACATTCACTCAACCAATCCTAAAGGTGTTATACCTTATACTCGGAGGTTGTAAATCACGGTGACTCAACTAATCCTAAAGGTGTTATACCTTATACTCGTGCCCACCAAAGGCCCGCTCTGATCTCCACACGGTATCGTTGCTGGTTTCAATCCTGATCATTTCTCCAACTTTCCGGTCATCTTACACGTTGAGCTACCCGTGCGGGTGGTTTTTTTGTTACATGATTGAACACTACTCGATCGATCAGTAAAAGATGAATGACACAGAGTAAAACAAGATACGGATGGGAGTAGAAATCATATAAAGAAAACGAGAAACCTTGCAGTGGTGGCCATTGGAGGCTGAAGTCGTATTCTTCCATGAATCAGTGACATCAAAAATATAAATCTTGAGGGGAAGAAAGGAGGAATCCCAGTGAAGGTAGGTGACAGTGTACTGGAGATAGAGGCGTCTTCTTCTTCCTGTACCCTGAGCGGCATTCACCCGGCATCTAGTCCCGTCATAGCAACATCTCAGCCCACCGACATAATCCTTTTCCAGAGCCTGCCCGTTCTCGTCCACGCTCACATTGTACAGCGCACACCTGCACTCGGTGCACCCCAGCCGATCCACCGCTTCCCGGGTATCAATCGCGTGAACGTTAAGCAGCCACGCCTCCTCGTACCCCTCCGGAACGTCTTCCGCCTTCCCGACCTCTATTCCGTACGGGTCTGGAATGCGGGTATCTGTTTTCCTTGTTTCGGATCCCAGCCCGAAATACTGCGAAAGGCCAGGGCAGATGCCTGAGTTGCGGACGAGAATGGCGCCTGGTCGAGCATCATCGGCGCCGCCTTTGAGGCGGTAGTATCTCCCCACCACCCAATGGTGGAGATAGGTTTCGTAAAGAGGGATGGAGTTTCCGGCTTCATCGACCACTTCTGCGTCGAATCCTTTCACTGCAATATGACCTTTGGGGAAGCCGACATCATAATAGAATTTGTTTTCGACTGATCCGGGCTCTAGCTCAAACGCCGGTGACCGGAAAGTGGCAGTTTTCATCCCATTATCGTTAACATTGCCGTTGTTACCTGCTTGTTTTTGAGAAGAAAGTGGAATGGCAGATATTGCCAGATGAAGCAGGAGAAGAAGAGAAGTGCGGCTTCTTAACTCTGTCTTCATTAATTTCGCTATGTCAAATTGGCAACATTCTTTCGATGGATGGGTGAATAAATAGTAGTCTTGTCGGGCCTTAAAATTGATAAGTTTGACCAACAGAATTAGAGCTCTTTGCCAGCTGGACTCATTTTGATGATTTATAAAAAATTTATATTTAAAATACTTTTTATTAATAAAATGAAAAACAAATTATATGAAAAAATAGCTAAAACAATCAGCTACAATAACTCCAACCAATATAATCAGAAAAGTAATTTTAATCTAACTTTTTCTTATTATTACACAATTCAACATGCGAAATCAAAAGTTACGTGTTTGATGAAAGAGTTGACTGATAAACCTGATAAGCTTACAAACATGATTACCAAACGGGATCTTAATAAAATAAAAATTATATGCTTCAGTCTTGTGTTGATAAGAGAGTATTAGTTGAAATTGTAAATTCTTTACTTAAAATGAAAAAAGATTTGTGGCACAATTAATAAAAGAAAATTGGTAAAGTTTTAAATGACGGAGGGAGTAAACGCGAAAGAAAATGGATGGATGGTATCAATGTCTTCTTTGCTAAGAGATGTTTTTAGAAATATGAGTAAATATGTTTTGAAATTCTATTGTTATGTTTTTCTTTCCAAATAACATGGAAGCATATAATATCATCAATGGTAGTATTTATTGAACTTTGTAGTCAATTCTACCAAATAATTACACTACTAGAATTTCACTCGGAAGAACATCAAATAAGCAAGTTCTGACGGTTCCCGTCAGAACTAACTTGTGTGATCTTTTGTGTATATATATACAAAATTAATCTTGACCATTTATGTGAAAAGATAGATGGAAGGGATCAACTTTTAAGCTGACAATGCAGTGGTGATAGAGTATATCTCCTAGGTTCTAGAGAGAAGTGAGAGCTAGAGAAAGAAGTGCAATAATATGCTTCAATAGAATGAATTCGTAACCCCTATAACTACTCCCAAGGGGAGTATTTATAGAGAAAATTAGGGTTGGGCTCCCAAGCCTTGGGCTTGGGAGGCCCATTTACAACTGGACCGCTACTGGGCCGAATACAAAGCCTCTAATGGGCTGTACAAATGAGTAAGTATAGGATCCGATTCTGGGAGGTCTTCGTGGCCGACGAGGGCGTGGCCGACGAGGGCACGGCCGACGAGGGCACGGCCGACGAGGGCACCCGGGTTCCTTGGACTCAGGACCAGGATCCGAGTTGGCTTCTTCTCGGCCGACGGGGGCGTCTTGGCCGACGAGGGCGTCACTCTGTTGTCTTGTGCTTTGTTCTTCCGAGTATGTGGGTCCTGGGGCTCAGACCCATATACTCCATCAAGTGGCATTTTGTCAATTATGAAGAACATTTAATGAAAATATTGTGACAAATGTGTATGAGATTATGCAAAATGTGCATATAGTCAAAGTACAAAAGTGCAACATAATACAAAATAAAAAGCGCACACACTGCAAACAGGCTCATATATACTCATATAAAACGAATTTGCTTCCAAAACATTACTCATTACGTTTTATTGTACTTTATCAACTTTCTATTTTTGTTTGTCCAAAATTTTTTATTACTTTTCTCTTTAAGTAATAACTTTGCGGTTCTCCTTATTTTTTTCTTCTTTGCATAAATCTCAATTGTACAATTTTTACTTTTTTTATTCCACACTCAAATCAAAAGTAGGCAATTCCATTCCATTCCATTCCATTATAAAAATCTCCGTTATTCCATTTCATTTAGGTTTAGAAATAGGAATAAACGTAATGAGGGACGTTAATAAGTAATGAGCCCCTCCCTCAATTTTCAAAATGTCACCGTCACCTTTTTTCAATAGTTTGACGGTTTGACCACTTCTTCGTTCATACTAGTACTATCTCCCCCAAAGGGTTTCGTGTTGGTTTTTCACTTTTTCTTGGTGTAGACATGATTTTAATTTTCATATGTGATTCATAATTTAATACTCCTGTTCTTTTTTAGTTGAAACGACCAACATTTCACATTTGTTAATGCACGTCTTTGATCGTAATTATATCTTAATTCTATTATTGAAAAAGTATTAAAAATCAAATTTTGAAAATTTGTAATGAGATGAATTGAACAATATTTTTAAAAATAATAATTTTCATAAAATAATAGCGTAAAATGTAGTCTAAGTAGAGCATTGAATAGTGTAAATTTCAACATGTTACGATTAAAAAAGAACGGAGGATACTATTTGTATGAAAATAGTTTTTATGATTAACTTTTCAGATTTTCAGCAAGTACATACGGATAATTTTTTACACTTATCTAATGATTATATGTAACTGAAACTAGGCATGGACCGGGACCGGGCCGGTTCAATCCGGGCTTTTTTTCCAGGATGTTGGACCCGAAACCGGCCCGAGTTGATATCGGGCCAAACCGGGCTGGGCCCGATTCAAGGTAATTTTTTTTGGCTTTGTAATTAACCTCCGACCCCCCTCCCTCACCCCACCCCCACTCCCAAACCCCCCCAAAACACCCAGCCCTACCCAAGGAAAAGAAAAAAGTTGAAAAAAATGAACCGGACCCGGCCCGGACTGCCCGGACCCGGCCCGGACCGCCCGGACCCGGCCCGGACCGCCCGGGCCGGTTCATGAAAATCAAGGCCCGAGCCCGGCCCGCCAGACCCGCCCAAACCGGGCTAAAGCCCGGAACCGGTCATCTGGTCCGGTCCGGGCCCGCACAGTAGCGGGCCGGTCCGGTTCCCGGGCCGGTTCGAACCGGTTGGGTCCATCCCTAATTGAAACCAACAATCAAGAAAAAATAAGGCTACATGTAATACGGAGTATATATTTATTTTTCCCTTTTGTTTTCCACCCTTATAATGAAGTTCACATTAATTGTCTAACAAAGCAGGAATAGAAACATATGAAATTAAAAGAAACCAAATGACGAAACAGAGAAAGAAATGAGGATAATAGTTGAAGATGAATATTTATGTCAGATTTTCTAATAGAGAGAATTGGGGGATGAACTCCCCTGCCGGCCGGGAGTATTTCAGCCAGGAGATGTCCGTTTACTACAACCTGGGCCAGGAGCGGATGCAAAGGCTCCTGTATCGGCGGCTATCCCGGGCGTTGAAGGCCATGAATTACACGGCAAGATGGGCTAGACGGAACCTGAAGCTCCCAAAGCTGATGAAGGATCCCGAAGAGCAGGCCACGCTTCCGCTGTCGGAGCGGGAGTCCCCCATAGAAAGCTCCGGCCTCGGCGAGCCGGACTACACTGAGTTCGACTTCCTTGATGATGCTACCAGTGCTGCACCTCATGCCGGCCAAGAAGCTGAGGACGAAGGGGGAGCTGATGAGGCCGATGAGGCGGTCGCAGATGGAGGTGCCCCCGAAGCTTAATCGGCTATTTTTTGTAATTAGATTTTCAAATTTTTTTGCCAAGTGATGTAACGGCCGTAGTGCCCCCCAATTGTAATGAAATTTATCAATTGAAGACCGGATCGACGGTCAGCCGGTGAGTGATCACCTGGCGGCTGATGCCTGGCATATCGTCCGGGCCCCACGCGAAGACGACGGCGTATGATCGTAGGACGAGGAGGATGGCGTCTCGTTGGTCCTGGGGGAGCTGCTTTCCGACCCTGAGAACCCGCTCCGGTCGGGAGGTATCCAGAGGGATTTCCTCGACCTCCTCGGCCGGCTCCGCATGTGGCCTCTCCTCGTCCATGGCGACGGCGGCCGTAATGGTGTCTATCCTCTGTCCTTCCCTTTCGGCCGGCCTCGTTAGCTTGAGGTAGCAAGCTCTGGCTATCCTCTGATTTCCCCTGGCGCAGCCGACGCCGTCACTGGTGGGGAACTTCAAGCATAGGTGCTTCATGGAGATGATGGCCTCCAAGTCCTCCAGCGCTGGCCGGCCCAAGATCAGGTTGTGGGCGCACCGGAGGTTGACCACCATGAACTCCATGTCAATCTTGGCACGGTGGGGGCCGTCACCGACCTCCACGGGGAGGACTATCGTGCCCTCGGCGTCGATAGAGTCCCCGGTGAAGCCGGATAACGGGGTCTTGATCGGCTTCAGCAAAGCTCTGTCCAGCTTCAGCTGCTTGAAGGTGTCTAGGTACATCACGTTGACGGAGCTCCCCGTATCGATGTAAGTACGGTGGATGATAGAGTCACCGATCTCACATCGGATGACGAGGGCGTCCCTGTGTGATTCCGTACCCGGAGGCAGATCTTTGTCGGTGAAGGTGATCGCCTCCGTTCGCTGCTTCTTCGGCTGGGGGGAATGTGGGACACCTCCCCAATGTAAAGGGATTGGGCCCATTTCTTTCTCTGAGTGGCGGAGTCCCCCCCAGTGTTCCCACCTACGATGAGGTGGATGTGATTCTTCTTCGGCGGTGGCTCCTCGAAGTCCTCGTCGTCACTGAGTCTGCCAATCTCCCGCTTCTTCGCAGAGGGTTCGCCCCCATGTTTGCCGGTGTTTACCCAAGTGTTCTTGCGTGGGCCACCTTTGACAAACTGGGAGAGTTCCCCCTGGCGAATAAGGCGCTCGATGGCCTTCTTCAATGTGATGCAATCGTCGGTGTTGTGCGACGAGTTTTTGTGGAACCGGCAGTATGTGCCGCCCTGCTGGATGGCCAGGATCTCCTCGGCCGGCCGAGGAGCCTGCTCGATGAGGCCGTGCTTCTCGGCATAATCGAGGATGGTGCCGACCGGGTGGGTGAGGGTTACCCCCGGCCGTTCCAGCCTCGGCCGCCAGTGGCGGTCTTTCTTACTTTGTCCACCAGAGCCGTGGCGGCCCTGGGCACCCTGGCCGGCGAAGGATTTGTCTTCTTGGGGGGATGACCCCCCTCTCTCTTGTGATTGTGGAGCTCGTCGGCGTCGGCATACAAGCCTCCGCGTTGGAGCGCCTTGGCGTACGACCTCGGGGGGTCAGTGATGAGGCTCCTGGCGTACGGGGAGCTGCGGAGGGCTCCCTGGTACAAGGCGAGGAGGGTGCGCTCATCGGCCCCCTCGACCTCCTCGGTCTCCCTCG